CATTACTTTTGTCATAGCGTTATGAAATAAAACTGCTTCACTGCACTATGCTACTAGTTCACCACGTAAAATTCCTCTTTAGTATACGAAACAGTGTGGTTGAGTCAAAAGCTTTCTTTTGACTCCATGGTTAGTGCAATTCGATTTTATGTGCGAACTGGCATTGGTCATACGAACTACAGTTGTTAATTGCTTATAATGGAGATGCACTCTTTCAGGACTATTGATTCTCTAATTGGATAGCAACCATGCCATTCAAAGCCTACAGTAAAATGTTCCAGTCTGGGAAGATAACATCACCGTCAGTCCCTTATTGGGTGCCCAGGATATAACCCTAAACGTCGGTAACAAGATGACCGACCTTTTACAGAGTCAGTTCAGTGTAGACCAGTTACACCTAACAAATTTAAATTGACTATAGAACCCTAACAGATTTTTTAGACCTTGTTTTACTAATTTTTCTCTCCTATTCATTCGAAAAAGCGCATAGCAGAACTGTTTGGCGGCTAGAATTCAATGAAATGACATCAGGGTATATTTCACTGACATACATTCCTAAACAGTGTGCGATGTTTTATGGAATATTAACAAATTTCGATAACCGGAAAGAAAGTTAGTAAGCACCGCATAGTTAGTTTATTGTTAGAACTTGTATTTGATGATATTATCGAAAGCATAGATCCTACTTCTAACCCTCTAAGCACCCGGGTCGGATGAAGTAGTTAACTTTATTTCAAATTAATGCAAAAAATACCCATTTATGAGTTGCGGAATTAATGAATAATAGAATAATCAATCACCTGGAACGCAGTGAGCATTGAAATCCAGTAAAGTAACAAACTATAATTTTCAAAATAATCAACCTCGTTTACATGGAATTTTTACATAACTGTCAAGAAAGATAGAGAGAGAGATGAAACCCAAGATCATGACTGTAAATGCAATATAATTCATTTAAGTCGTCCTTTGTGCATTAGCTAGCTAGAACTTTAAACCAAGTATGTTTTCAAAACCAAAGGCCAAAAAATATATCACGTGTTGCATAGAGTTTATCCTCTGCTTGTTAGTCGTTGGTGATAGTCGACTCTAGATAAAAGGTATTGAGAACCGCACATACGAATTGCAAACCTACCACTCCTGCGTCAGCGACCATGAGCTTAAGTGTGGCGACAGCAGTTAAATGCATGCCTGTGAATCAAACGATTTCAAACTGCACATGCCAGAAGACGTTACTTCATGCTTTAGATCTGTAGTTAATCAGCAGTGAGACTCAAATACCGTATTCCAAATGCCAGAACTCAACAAGTCACTTTGAAAAGAGTAGTTGCTTATATCGCGTAATGGTGGGATTTATTGAGTCCATACATTGAATGGCTGATACCTGGAAATGTTCATGGAAATATTTACTAAAACTGCTGTCCGCCACCTGGTTTCCTCACAGGCCAGTAAATCATGTAGGAAGGGTGACAGATATTT